ATATATATATTAGTAGTAGTGTGACTCACAGTTTTGTTTCTCATTTCCCTTCTTCCCTCCTCACCACCTCACGACCACTATCCATGTGTTGGACATCGCATTTTTGTATTTACGAACGCGGGTGGTGGCAGGTAAGTGCTCGGATAACCAAGGCGCAAGCTGCAATCACCAATCGGTGTCACTTACGGCCTCAGGAGCGAATTACCTCAGAACGAAGGGCCTTGCATACTTTAAGTGATCACTACTGCCTCTATAGCGTAGGTGTTACTTGGCTACAGCGAGTACGCAACGAAGTGTTGCATGAGCAGGTACTTGCTAATGCACCCGAATCATTAGAAACGGTACATTAGAGTTACCAGGTCAAAGTGGTTTGAGCATGTGTAACGTATGCCTAACCGCCATCTATCCAAGAAACGCTTTTTCTGTTCCAAGTGGTTGTTGGCCGAAGGGGGGACAAGCTGTGACATTGTATCGTGAAATGAAAGCGTCTACAGTCGCATTGAGTCCAGCGGGGTCTTCGTGTCCTCCTGTCTTGGGCCCATGTGACGCTGTATGCGGCTGGAAGCCCGGCAGCATACAACCAATCTGTGGCGCGCATGCTGTCATTTCTTAGCCGGACTACCTGAAAAAAGTTTACCCGTCGTCGCACGCTGTGTTTACTTCAGCTAGGTTCACAAAAGACGAGGAGTGAATCCAGCTGATGATGCCTCACTTCGACGTAAGGCTCGGGTATGTTTATTTTAATGCTGACCGAAGATATGGGTATCTTATGATCATCTCCCTTTAAGAAAAAAGGACTCCGAATTAATTCTTTACCTCTCCATTACTTACTGACTTAATAACTTACTGGTTAGGAGGTTCGTGCTTCGAATCCAAGCCTGACATCTCGACTACACCTGTCTAGGTCTGAGCAACCTGACAGTATCTCAGCCGTCATGTTTTCTTTTGGTGGTATTGCAGCTAGCTACCGAAAGGGTTCTACAGATGAACGACTCTGATTCTACACAAGAAGTTGCTCAGGCACTGGGTCCAGGTTAAGGTACTGTCGTTATCAGGGGTATTGATTGAAAAACAACGAGGCAAAGTTTTCTGCTGAAGTACGTCGAATGATTTTCAGAAAAGATAACCCGCTCACAATACATGAACTGATCATACTGTATAAGTTGGGCTAACCTGGTTATGTGCTCCGTACGCTAGTCGACCCATTCTTCGAAAACTTTTCGCACAACCATGTGAAGAGTGGAGACGAGCTAGGGCAGATCAACCAATCAATTGGCACTAAACTCAGCCGCGTCGGTTATCGCTATCTCCCTGGATAGGGATCTCAAGACTGTACATATCAATGGTCCCTCGAAAAAATGAGCAGGAGATAGCTCCGTGTTTAAGACGCCAGCTTACGGACCGGAATGTCCGTGGTTCGAATCGGACATCAGCATCAATGATTGAACCTTGTCAGAAAAGGACCATCACGCACTTCAACGGTGCGCGTGGTTCCAAGCTGTTGTCTTCGCTGGGTAGCTTTACCTCTCGATCTTCCCACAGGGAACCCCGCTGGTACTTCTGTATTCGTGCACAATTACATTGCCCACCGCCTGCAATGCGCAGCAATCTACTCCTACCTCTCCAAATAATTGTGGCGGCTACAAAGACCGTACAGCGGACACGAGGTTTCTACAGCCACAGATGATGATAATGATATCGGTAGTCAATCACAACTCCTAAAGACCGTCGTGAATCTTACACGTCGGTGGGAGTGACCCACCTGACTTGAGGGGGTCGGCCCGGTTAGAGAACGTAGAAAGTAAGGCAACAAGGTCTCACTTCTAAGGCGACTGCACACAGCAGGTGCCTTTTGAGGAGCACCGGACTCTTCGGTTTTAAAAGTATTCCGGCCACACTGACTAATGTGCCGGCGATCATGATCAACTGTTGGGCGATCGGAATGCGTCGCTTTTAGGGCCAAGATTTCATAATCCCTTCTTCTGTAAATTTAGGCATCTGGTCGCCCTGACGGAAGTGCCTTACTGTCTTTACACTTCTACCGCAGAAGACAGTACGACTTTAGCTCCAGACCACCTCTTAATACGATTTCTCGCAATGCGGGAACTCGCTGTTCTTCGTCGGGCTGCACCAATATGGCATTCCTCGCAGAGCTGAACCTTTAGTGACTGAGTTCCAGCCATTAAAACCCGTAGAATCGTTGGAGCACAGGAGACCGATCACCGCGACAACGTGGCAGTCTTGGGTCGGGATTACTTCACGGCAAATTCCACGCTCATCCCTCTCCCGAAGCTTTACCATCACCGCTTAATGGTGAGGGATGGTGATGAATTTCTGTGTACCAACTGGCCATCAGCTTACCGTTCCTTTTTATCCTCACCTCTGGTAGGTCTATGTTAGGCCCTATTCCTCTTAAATATTCATCCCCAGTAGAAGTTGTGAAAATTCAGTTTCACCCGCTCGGAGGCGCAACTCAGGCTCCCGGAAATGAGGTTATTCAAGAGCAAACCCAATCAGTACACTATGAACGACCGGAACGGAAGCTAAAAAGCCAGGCTGAAGAAGGTAGCTGGACTAACTAAATAATAATAATAATAATAATAATAATAATAATAATAATACCAATAGTAATAATAGTAATAATAGCAATAATTAAGCTGTAGCACCCTTTCGATGCCTAGCTGTCATTCAAAGGGAAGGAGGCACGAAGGCTGGGACATTACCAGGTTGCCCAGGCCTAGAAAGGAGCAGTCGAGATTCTGAGGTCGGGTTCGAACCACGGGTCCATCGGTACGTAAGCTACCACCTTAAGCACCAAGCTATCTCAAGCGACATCACATGGGAGGAAGTGAACCAACACCATAGATGCAAACATATGTAGCATTGATAAGAATGAACATTTAGGCGCGTAACGCGTGGATGCAAAAGACAGGTAAGTTGGTGGCCGTTGCCCACGTACAGCGGTACCCCTTTCTTAACCTCGGTTTTATGTTGGCCATCGAAGCTGCTCACATCTCCCATGACCACCGTTATTCGCACAAGATTTTTGCTAGTTCTACATTCTTCAACAGGACCTCAGAAATGATCAGCTAAGTTTCCGAGCTCGTCTAAACGATGGCTTCCGTTATCTGTTTACTAAGGCTCTCCTCTATTCGCACTATCCTACGCTGTAGCTGCACGAAAAACGAGCAAGCAGGCTCAGTAAGTTCAGTAGACGTGTACAGGAGTATGAAGGCGGAGATTTGTAGATTTGGATCTGTAGGGTTTCAGCAGGGTTTACACTTCCGGGGTGAGTGGTTAAAGACACCTCTCAGCAATGGTGGTAGTGTGTATGATTGGATTAGTAGTATCCAACTAGGCGTAATATAAATTAAACACACTTTAACTTGCTGCAGCAAACAAACCAGTCTGGTTTGGTGGGTATTATGAAGTTGAGGTACTGTAGGTCAGTCTCCAGTGAGTCTGAGTGATTGGGTGTCTGACATATACTGCCTAGAATAGCCGACGAAACAGTGACGTGTAAACTACAGACCAAAGCAGTGTTACACTGAGCATAGACAATGGGTTA